AACCAAAGGATCACAGATAGGCTTCTCCTGAAACTTTCTGTTCTCGTCTCAAGTCACATGCTCCCAGTCTCTGACTTTGAAAATGGCCATATGATCCTTTAAAAGGCACAGAAAATCTCAACAGGACTAGAGATGATGGGACTTGTAGTCCTACCAAAAACTAAAAGATCACAGAGGGGCTTAGCTTGAAACTCTGTTTCATGCAGAAAAAAAATCTCAGCATGAATGGAGATACTAGGACTTGTACTCCTACCACAACCAAAAGATCACAGATGGGCTTCTCCTGAAACTTTCAGTTCTCATCACATGCTCCTAGTCTCCAACTTTGAGGATGGCCATATGATCCTTTCAAGGCACAGAAAATCGCAACATGACTAGAGATGGGACTTGTAGTCCTACCAAACCTAAAGGATCACAGATGGGCTTAGCTTGAAACTTTCTGTCCACAAAAAAAAAAAAAAAAAAAAATCTCAGCATGAATGGAGATGGGACTTGTAGTCCAAACTCAACCAAAAGGGTCACAGATGGGCTTCTCCTGAAATGCGTTGTCTTCATCTTCAGTCACACGTTCCCAGTATTCGGGACTTTGAGGATGGCCACCACAACAAGAAAGAAACCGTGTGATCCTCTAAAGGTAGACTAAAATCTCAACATGACCAGAGATAACGGGACTTTTTGTCCTACCAAAACTAAAAGGGTCACAGATGAAACCATCCTGAAACTTTCTGTCCTCGTCTAAAGTCACATGCTCCCAGTCTTGGCTGTTGATAACTGTAGGAACATCATTACATTATTCAAAAAAAAAAAAAAAAAAAAAAAAAAAAAAAAAAAAAAAACGACCATAATATCCTTTAAAAGGCACAGAAAATCTCAATATGAACGAAGATGGTAGGACCACAACCAAAGGGTCACAGATGGGCTTATCCTGAAACTTCTAGTCCTCGTCTCAGGCCACATGCTCCCCGTCTCCTAAATTCTATACCATCCTTCTATTGAGGACTTCAAGCATGACCACCACATTAAGAACTGGGACCACATGATCTTTTAAAGACAGAAAATCTCAGCATAAAAGATGATGCTGAGACTTGTAGTCCTAGCACAACTAAAGGGTCACATGAAACTTTTTGTCCTGGTCTCAAGTCACATGGTCCCAGGCTTCGCTGTTGATGACTCTGCTCTCTGGACATCACTACCTGGGGTGGGTTGCGGTGGGGTTTGGGGGAGAGGGGTGTGGGGAGTCTATCATTCTTCAAAAAAGGCACAGAAAATCTCAACTGAGATGCTGGGACTTTTAGTCCTACCTAAAAAGGGTCACAGATGGGCTTCTCCTGATATTTGTTGTCCTTGTATCAAGTCACATGCTCCCAGTGTCCACTATTGAAGACATTGTTACAAAATGTTTTTTTTTGTTTTTTTTTTTTTTTTAAATCGTCCTTCGCAGGCACATGAAAATCTCAACATGAAAGGAGATGCTGGGACTTGTAGTCTTACCACAACTAAAGGGTCACAGGTGGGCTTATCCTGAAACTTTTTATCCTCATCACATGTCCAGGCCACATGCTCCCAGTTTTCCCTATTAACAATCACCACATATGGGCTTATCCTGAAACTATGTCCACAAAATCTCAGCATGAAAGGAGATGCTGGGACTTGTAGTGCTAACACAACCAAAGGCTCACAGATGGGCTTATCCTGAAACTTTGGGATTTACTAAAACTGGAGAGGGCAAAATCCGGCTCACTTCTGCATAAAAACCAATCAGCTTCCAGGTTTTATTTCCAAAGCTTAATTGAACAAGCTGAAGTTAGAAGCCGATTGGTTTCCATGCAGAAGTGAGCCTGATTTTGCCCTCTCCAGCTTTAGTAAATAAACCCCTTTCTGTCCACAGAAAATCTCAGCATGAGCAGAGATGCTGGGACTTTGTAGTCCTACCACACAACCAAAGGATCACAGCTGGGCTTATCCTGAAACTTTTTGTCATCACACAGAAAATCTCAGACATCACCACATGCAAACGAGATGCTGGGACTTTTAGTCCTACCACAACCAAATGGTCAGAGATGAGCTTATCCTGTAACTTTCTGTCCACAAAAACATCTCAGCATAAGCAGAGATGCTGGGACTTGTAGTAGTCCTACCACAACCAAAAGGGTCACACATGGGCTTATCCTGAAACTCTGTCCACAAAATCTCAGCATGAAACGAGATGCTGGGACTTGTAGTCCTACCACAACCAAATGGCCACAGGTGGGCTTATCCTGAAACTTTTTGTCCTCATCACATGTCCAGGCCACATGCTCCCAGTATTCCCAATTGATGACATCACCACATTTAGAAAAAAAAAAAAAGTTTGTATCGTCCTTCAAAAAGGCACAGAAAATCTCAGCATGAGCAGAGATGCTGGGACTTGTAGTCCTACCACAACCAAATGGTCAGAGATGAGCTTATCCTGAAACTTTCTGTCCACAGAAAATCTCATCATGAAACAAGATGCTGGGACTTGTAGTCCTACCACACAACCAAAATGGTCACAGGTGGGCTTATCCTGAAACTTTTTGTCCTCATCACACGCTCCCAGTTTTCCTTATTGATGACATCACATTATTTAAAAAAAAAAAGTTTGTATCGTCCTTCAAAAGGCACAGAAAATCTCAGCATGAACGGAAATGCTGGGACTTGTAGTCCTACCACAACCAAAGGGTCACAGAAGGGCTTATCCTGAAACTCTGTCCACAGAAAATCTCAGCATGAACAGAGATGCTGGGACTTGTAGTCCTACCACACAACCAAATGGTTAGAGATGAGCTTATCCTGTAACTTTCGGTCCACAAAACATCTCAGCATGAGCAGAGATGCTGGGACCTGTAGTCCTACCACACAACAAAAGGGTCACAGAAGGGCTTATCCTGAAACTCTGTCCACAAAATATCTCAGCATGAGTGGAGATGCTGGGACTTGTAGTCCTACCACAACCAAATGGTCAGAGATGAGCTTATCCTGTAACTTTCTGTCCACAAAACATCTCAGCATAAGCAGAGATGCTGGGACCTGTAGTCCTACCACAACCAAAGGGGTCACAGAAGGGCTTATCCTGAAATTCTGTCCACAGAAAATCTCAGCATGAGTGGAGATGCTGGAACTTGTAGTCCTACCACAAAACCAAAGGGGTCACAGATGGGCTTATCCTGAAATCAGACCTAGCATCCAATTATGGTGGCATCCCCTAACCCAGCTTCCTCCACCCATAGGAGAGATGAGGAATAGAATACAATGTATCACCCCAACTATAAACAGGAAACAAAACTTTTTCAGAGAACACACAACACAATCCAAGTTGTTACATTGATAATAGTAGGTGATCCCCCATATCTGATGCCCCCACCATGTGTACTCCCCCCGGGTCTCAGCTCCCCTTACCCGACTGGCTGCCTCCTGCGCCCGCGTGTTCTTTGTGTCTGCTCTCCGCATGGTGAGCTCGTACTTCCCAGCACGGCTTATGAGTCAGAGGCAGGGGGTGGGAATCCCCGCAGTGACGTCACACTCCATATAAGGACATCCTGCTGTCACTGTAGGCAGAGGAGATCGAAGAGGGGAGGAATGGTGGCCACAGTGGGGGGACAGGGGGGGGCCCTGGGGGTGGGTGATCAGGAGGGGCCACTTCTATAAAAGTGTTAATTATATTGTCAGCTCTGCTGAAAAGGCCCTTCCCCCCCAAACCTTTTGTCTTTGGAGTTTGCTGATAATGTTTATAAAAAGCCTTAAAAGGGGCTTTCCACTCTGCAGCCAGAGGAAATATCCACGGGTGGCCAGAAACCCCCCCCCCCCCCCCCACTGGAAGCCCCCTCCCTGGGTCCTTTAGCCCTGAATGGGATGGAATGATCAGATCTGGGCGGAGTCTTTTGTTTAACTGCCCATACACGGTTAGATTGTCGCGCGCGAACACTCCAACCAGAATTTTCGTTTTATCGGAGGATTCGATCTTTCCATCATTGAGTCAACAAATTTTGTTAGTTTTCTCACTTGTCGCCCTTCTGAGAACTGATCGCCTTTCAGGGGACAGTTGACAGGTGGCTGGGAGGTGATAGGTCATCTCCTGTTTTAACCCTCAAGATCCCGCACCACCGCGCCGTCGTGGCGCAGCCCCATGTACGTTCGAGTTAACACCAATGTGTTTTTTCGTGCTTTTTGCAGAAACGCAGTACAGTTCATTTAAACGCCACTGAGGTTTCGGAGAGGGTCAGGGATTGTTTATTATTATTATTATTATTATTATTATACAGGATTTTATATATTATTATACAGGATTATATATACATTATTTATTATATTATTATACAGGATTTTATTATTATTATTATACAGGATTTATATATTATTATTATTATATTTATTATTATACAGGATTTATATATTATATTATTATATATTATATATTATTATTATACAGGATTTATATAGCGCCAACAGTTTGTTCAGCGCTTTACATTATAATGGGAGACAATACAGCAACAATACAGTTCAATACAAGAGGGATAGGAGGGCCCTGATCCTGGGAGCTTACAATAGGAGGGAGGGGCTAGTGGTACAAAAGGTAATAACTGTGGGGGATGGACTGGTAGGAGGAGTAGAAGATTCCATTATTAGCTGAGGGCAGGATAGGCTTCCCTGAAGAGATAGGTTTTCAGAGATCGCCTAAAAGTGAGCAGTGTAGGCAATAATCTGAGAGATTGGGGTAGAAAATTCCAGAGGATGGGGGAAGCTCTTGAGGAGTTCTGGAGACGAGCATAGGAGGAGGAGACAAGGGAGTTAGGAGGTCGTAGGAGGAGAGGAGAGTATGGTTTGGGTGATATCTGGAGATAAGATTGGTGATGTAATTTGGGGTAGAGTTATAAATGGTTTTATATGTTATTGTTAATGTTTTGAATTGTATCCGTTGGGCAATGGGAAGCCAGTGGAGAGATTGGCAGAGAGGGATGGAGGACACAGTGGAGGCCAGTGGAGGGACTGGCAGAGAGGGATGGAGGACACTGAATGGAGATCAGTGGAGGGACTGGCAGAGAGGGATGGAGGATACTCAGTGGAGGCCAGTGGAGGGATTGGCAGAGAGGGATGGAGGACACTGAATGGAGATCAGTGGAGGGATTGGCAGAGAGGGGTGGAAGACAGTGGAGGGATTGGCAGAGAGGGATGGAGGACACTGAGTGGAGGCCAGTGGAGGGATTGGCAGAGATGGGTGGAGGACACTGAGTGGAGGCCAATGGAGGGATTGGCAGAGAGGGGTGGAGGCCAGTGGAGGGATTGGCAGAGAGGGGTGGCTGATGCAGATTAGTAAGGTGGATGAGTCTGGCAGCAGCATTCATGATAGACTGAAGAGGGGATAGCCTGCGATTAGGTAGGCCAATGGTAAGCCCTGGTTCACATCTGTGCGGTCTTGTGGTCATTTGAATGGCCCCCCCCCGTGCCCCGTGCAGAGAAGAAGTCCCTACACTACTTTGGATATCGCAGTCCGCACAGGAACTGAATCTCCCAGTAGGCTCCCAGTGGTCATGATTTCCAGTGCAGGCGGCGTGCCATTAGAACTAATGGCACCTGCCCACGGGTCCCGTATTCCTCTGTGTGGGTGGTGCTGCTGCATGTATTTGCGTGGGTCCCGCAGCGGCACCTCCCGCACACATGTGAATCGGGTTAAATGCAAAAATCAGCGTTTTTGCTACAATCAAGTTCAATGGAGAAGCTGCTGAAATGCATGTTGTGCATTTTTGCTGCGTTTTTCTGCCCAGCACAACAAAACAATTTCCCCTTTAAACAACAAAAAAAAAAAGCTGAAAAAAATGCAAAATGCTGTAAAAACGCACATGCAAAACGGGCAAAAAATACAATGCGTTGGTGTGAACCAGGAGATCAATGGAGAAGCTGCTGAAGCGCATGTTGTGCATTTTTGCTGCGTTTTTGCATTTTTATTTCGCCTGGCAACAAAAAAGAATTCCCCTTTAGCCCAGGTTCACACTGATGCGGTCCAGAATTTGCAGCGTTTTCTGTGCAAATTCCGCACCGCATCAGAATTGCACCCCGTTCATGCGAACCGTCTGGAAAACTCGGGCACCATTTGGAAACTTGGGCACTGCCCAAGGGCCCGGGGTCAGTAGGGGGTCCCATGAGATGCCCCTGGTACCTTTTTCATAGGCTTTTTTGAGTTTGGGCAAGGACACAGGGGCCCCATGATCCCCTATTGCCCAAGGGCCCCATGAGTTGTCAGTCCGCCCCTGGTTGAGTGCAATCAGATTTTCTTTGAAAAGTCCATAGATTGGAGTTTTCTTGGGTATCTCATGGTGCCCAGGGGCAGACTGACCATTTGGAAACTCGGGCACTGCTCGAGGTCAGTAGGGGGCCCCATGAGATGCCCCTGGTACCTTTTTCATAGGCTTTTTTGAGTTTGGGCAAGGACACAGGGGCCCCATGATCCCCTATTGCCCAGGGGCCCCATGAGTTGTCAGTCCGCCCCCGGTGGTGCCAGTCACACTTCAGGAAGACAAAGACAGTTGCAGTTGGTGGACTTTACAGGAAGATGTTAATGAATGATCTCTTGTGATCTCCTGGTCCAATCTTCCTTCCCATTTCAACAAACAAGCAGGCGTGGCCGGTATACATCTCCCTCTATTGTCCCAGCCTGACAATAAACAAAGCCTTTCACCTAATTGTTTACCTGAGCCCCCCCCCCCCCCCCCACATCATCCTGCCTCTCATCTCCATCCATGAGAGCACCGGCATTCCAAAGCGTGGGATCGTCCGGGATTGTGCAATTGTGTCTTTAAAGTTGGATATACACGAGTAGATTTTCGAACAAACGTTCGTAGGAACAGTCCTATGATCGTTCAAAGGAAAATTCCTGTGCTTCAAAAATGTTTCCATTCATGCACACTGGCAAAAAAAAAAAACAAAAACCGCCAGTACTCTCAGCAGAAAAAAACGCTAATTTTGAGCGCTTTTTTTTTGCAGAAGCATTTTTCTGCCAGAAAAACGCCCTCAAAGACGCAAAACAGAAGGTTTTTTTTCCTGTCTCTAAACGCTGAGCTTAAAACATGTCTCTAGCAGGGGCGGACTGACCATTTGGAAACTCGGGCACTGCCCGAGGGCCCGGGGTCAGTAGGGGGCCCCATGAGATGCCCCTGGTACCTTTTTCATAGGCTTTTTTGAGTTTGGGCAAGGACACAGGGGCCCCATGATCCCCTATTGCCCGGGGACCCCATGAGTTGTCAGTCCGCCTCTGGTCATGACTCTCCAGGCGTCAGAAGTGGAAGCAAGCAGATTGTAATCATTGTGATTAGGGCCATTCCCGACATTGCCATGCAGCTGTAATCGCTCTGACTCAGTCTATGTGTCAGGAACAACCGGAGTTACGTAAGAGAAAGGGCAGCAAAGTCAACGTATCGCCAAAACTTTTCTTTTTTCTTTTTGGATCGAGTAGGGGAAGTTAAAACCCTTATCAGACGATTCTTTACTGTCAGTGTCCCTTCTGGGGAAATCTCCTTTCATTTCCTGGCTTGGAACAGGAATTGAGGGGAAATCTCCCCAAAGGGAGGGAACTTCCACTCATTGTCACCGGAACATTGGAAGATTTCCCCTCACTTGACAATTCTATATTTTGCATCAGCAGGCCCGTACTGGGACAAAAAAAACAGTCCCGGGCATTTTAGACTGAGCAGCCCCGAGACCGGGACCCTTTCCTTGGAGCCAGGGCCTGGTCTCAAGACCGACCTTTGCGACCCCAGTAGTTCCGCCGCGCGTCAGTTTTTATTTTTTTACCAACAATTTTTTTTTTGTTAGCAGAGAGAAATAAAGAGCGAGAGAAAGGGGTGTGGGCGGGGGTAAGACACAAGACTGCCAGGGAGTGTGGGGTGGGGCAGACACAAGAGGAGAAGGTGGGAGGAGGAGCAAAACCAACTACGTCTCCTGTGCCATCTGGGGAGGGCGGAATGCTAGGGCCCGGTCACAAAGGTGACCTTTGCGACCCCGGTTGTTCCGCCACGCATCAGTTTTTATTTTTTACCAACAATTTTTTTGTAATTACTTTTTTTTTTTGTAGCATAGAGAAAGAAAGAGCGAGAGAAAGGGGGGGGGGGGGGTAAGACACAAGACTGCCAGGGAGTGTGGGCGGGGCAGACACTGGAGGAGGAGCAAAACCAACTACCTCTCCTCTCAGGATAGATTGTGGCTCCCCAGGCTGTGGGGCTCTGAGCTGAGAGAGTATCTCTCCCACAGCCTAGAGCCAGTGCTGACAGTTCCCCCCTCCCCACCACAGACGTCTGTGGTGGGGAGGGGGGAACTGTCAGCACTGGCTCTGGGCTGTGGAAGAGATACTCTCTCAGATCAGAGCCCCACAGCCTGGGGAGCCACAGTCTATCCTGACAAATCCCCCACAGAGAGGGGGGAACCAGACAACTCTGTGGGGGATGAGGGGGGACCGGCCATCATGGGAGCATATATTTGTAAATGCATTCCAGAAATGTAGATTTGTATTTTTAAAGACATACAGTATATTTGAAATGTATTTTTAAAAATACTTTTCATATATTTTGTAAGAAAAACTAATGTCAACATGCAATATATATATATATATATATATATATATATATATATATATTTTTTTTTTTAAATATATTGAATACGGCCAAAATTGTAGCATTTCAAATATACGGCAATATATTTGGGAAGAATATTTTGAAATTATATATTTAAAATATTTTTTTCTTCCATGTGGGTATATATATATATATATATATATATATATATATATATAAATATATTTTGAAGTATATTGAGTATTGCCAAAATTGTAGCTTTTCAAATATATGGAAATATATTTGGGGAGAATATTTTTTTAAAATACATTTCAAATATATTTTTCTTTTTCTTCCATGTGGGTGTATATATATATATATATATATATATATATATATATATATATATATATATATATATATATAAAATGTGTGATTTTGCGTACTTGTGCAGCCCTATAGCAGTATTTCTGCTATAGGGCAGACGGGAAGTATTTAAAAAAGAATTTTATTCCAATATCTCGGTAAAGCTGGACATAGATGGGTCTAAAATTGGCTAATTTTTCGGCCGAAAAAAAATCGTCCGATTTTCACACCGTTAATGGGTTAATTGGTCGGCCATTTTTCTGCATTTTGGCACATTTTTTTAGTCGGTAAAGTTGGAAAAAAATCTGCTGATTTTACCGATCGGCCGATTTTTTGCAGCAATGATGGGCAAATCGGCCGACCTTTTTACCGATATAAAATCTGTGCATGAGCCATGACCTGCAAGAAAAAGAAGAAGAAAAAGAAGAAGAAGAGGAGGAAGAAGAAGAAAAAGAGGAAGAAAAAGAAGAAGAATTTCAGTCCGCTATTATATTTGACATGAAAAAGTATTGCGGTTGCAACAATGTATCTATTTGTATCCGAATAAAAACATCTGTATCTGAAATGGATACAAATAGATACAATGTTGCAACCGCTATACTTGTTAATGTAAAATATAATAGCGGAGCTCTCTGCAGGGACAGGAGTAATTAAATGCCGGCCGTAGACGGGACGAAAACCGGACGATTTTTTTTTTTACCGTTGGTGGTAATGTCGGCCTATTGAACGACCGATTTTTCGGGTTTTTTTTGTTAAAAAAAGTCAGGTTTTTGACCCATCTATGGCCTGCATTACAGGCTGAGGTTTGGTTTTAGGTTTGCTGGTTTTCAGATGAAGCGTCGGTTTACAATCTTTCAAGAAGTCTCCGGCAATAAAAGACTTTCCCGCTAGCCGCAGCCAGCCCGCCGTCAGGAATTTCGGAGTACAGTAAATACCACGGGTGTGTTATGAAAGTAAATGTGTTTATGTTCTCCTTGGTCTCATGATCTCACAGGAGAGGCGTGAGTGTTTTGGGACTCTCTCTCTCCGCCTTGGGCCGTCCTGTTCCTGCAAACAGGATGAGTGCGTCGGGTGACCTCACAATAGTCTACGTCGGTGTTGCGTAACACGGGCTGCACATGTACCACACATCAACAGTCTCTGATTCACACACAGTTCTTTCTGCTGTCCTAGCACTTATAAATGATAAACCGTCCAGACTTATTACAATAGGATTGCACCACAAGCCAAGTTTAGGTGGCCTGGCACTAAACAAAGAATATCTGAAGCCAAAACTTTTTTTTTCTAAGCCTTGGATAGGGTAGGGGATGGTTAAAACTCAAGCTAAACTATCCATACACTATCCGAATTTCAGTTGGTTCCTGAGGAACAGGCTGAAATTTTCTTAGTTGGTGGCCCTGCTGACTGTCATGACTTGACTGAAAAATTGGAGGAACTAGGCAGAAAGTTGTCATCCGAAGAAGGACTGCATCCAGTCAGCTGCAACCGCTATTCGGATATATTGACAACGGGAAAGTGAGGAAGGGTTACAACTTGAGACAATGTTTAGTTTGCTG